CTTTTGAATATCCACAAATAGATCATGAAAATTGTCTGTTCAACGAATGAAAGTGACTCTGAAATTTTTCACCGCTTAGCATGCAATACAAATTTTTCTCTCACACTCAAGCATCTTTTGCTGGGCAGAGGTTACTATACAGATTTTCAATGACCATCCGATAGCAGAAATCCCAGCAATCTCAATGATAAGCTTGGTTTTTGTGAAGGACATCCCAATGTTTGTTACAGCGAATAGATCATTAAGTTTCGCACTCGGCGCCTTGTCGATCGCGCATCGCAATTTACATGTGCGGTAGCGCGCGTTAAGTGTAAAGCTCAATGTTCTCTTAGCTATAACGACGAACCAAGAAGTTTCCCTCAAAACTAAGCATATCCTTAAAATTTTTAATTAAGTTTACCGATATTGTGTTGTCGAAGAACTGGTGAATTTTTTGAGGAAAAGCGTTGCACCTCGAAAGATTCTCAAGTGTTAAATAACATATCATTTCCTCTGATACAGCGTAATAAGGCAGTCTTTCGAAAAATGAGCCACAGCTTTCAATATTTCTAAGCTATCGAATAACTATTAAAATGTCTAGATAGAGCGAAAAATATGTTTTTTCGAATATGGCTGCTGATAGGGGAAGTAACGCATCATGCGCAATGATGAACGCGCGCTCTTCCTACATTCACTCGAGCGACATATTAGAAATATCTCCGCATAAACCTCGACTAGAGAGAGATGGTTAGTTATGGAAGATGTGTTTTCATGCTACCTTCTCGCAGAACAGGCGATATAAATGATCAATAGGGGCTGAAAGTTTCTTTTTGCGCAAGGATGTGATATTACCGCTGAAAAATGAAGGCTTTCAAGAAGAGTAGTCACTCTTTGTATCAGAAAATCTTCCTAGCTGGTTTGTTTGTGATATTCCACCTTTTATGTAACGATAAGACACCTCTGAGATATAAACTTCACCTATAATTACCAACGGACCACCTATGACGTCCGAGAGGCGGGTAGCATTTAGGCGTGAAATGTGATCTTCTCTTCGCTTCTATGGAGTTATATGCCAACCTTTGAAAAAACTAATTTCATCACTAGAAATCTCGATATTTGGGCTATCTAAGAAACGTTGATACTTTAGTGAAGAGCCATACAGCGGCTCCCAGCCGGGCAAACGAATAAAATTGAGTGTGAAAAATGCTTTAATTTTCGCTGTTACAACATAATAAAAAGCTTTTTTCTGAAGATTGACAGGTTTTTGTAATCGCAGAGAATTTAAGCTTTTCAATGATTATAAATGTATGAGAGAAAACTTTTTCTGCAGCGAGAAAGGCTCTTCAAACTATCGTGTACACGAGCTGGTGCACGTCGTTCCTAAGGGGTTAATTGTACTTGATGTCACTTTGAAAGATAGAGATCTCGAGACTTCTAGTTGTGTAAATTATCTGATTTTTGAACTGTAAAAAGGGTGAAAGGATATAGCTCTTGGCGTTGATTATTTCCTGCAGGATGCGCCATGCATTCGTTTTCAACTTTGAACTTTCCTTTGAGGTGATCAATGCCATATCTGACTTTTACAGTGAATCACGGTGGCCTCCTGTTGCAACGAATCAGTGCTGCTTATCCTTCCCAGACAACCGTTACTAGCTGGTACCAATTTAACGACTCCAGAGGATGGATGGCTTGGCAAGCCATGAGCTGAGGACCGTGTGTGCGACATAGAGCACCCCTAGCCACTGCGCCAATTGCGCTCTCGTGAGTGTACAAAACTTTTTTTACCTCTGCTGTCGAAATAACGGAACCGAGGGAGGGTGCTACTAATGAGTCCAATAGGACGAAATAAGCGCCTATATAGCACCAGACCTATCGGCTCAAAAACAAGTCATATCCTTTTTTTACTTTAGAATGATTGCAGGTATGTTATCACATCATTGACATCGGCAAAGCGTCTTTCCGTCATGGAATGTTGCAGAGATCTGGAGAGATGATAAGCCGTTTAGAGCGGCGTTTGGGCTATACTGTCAATGAGTTGAAACGCTCCTACCCTATCTTCATCAACTTTTGCAATGCCATAAGAACAAAATATGAACAAGCGCTATCATGTTGCAAAATAACGCCGCTTCAACGAAGCTGTCGCAGCCGATTTCGACGAAGCTTTTGCTTGTACGCAGTCAAGATATGGCAAATCTGTGTGGATCTTAGATCAGCCTCCTTATGGTTGAGTCCTCCAGATAGTTCTGTGTCGCTTCGGTGACAGAATGACCCAAGTGGAGCGTTCAAAAGACTTTCACGACTTGAGCATTGTTCATTCTAAAATAAACGAAATTTCAAACAGCTACAAAAACAAATGGTTTGCATAAGTAGAATCTCAAAATCGCAAGCTTCCGAGTGAACACCAAATGCGTAAAAAGGACCAGAAACAAATCTATTGTAAATAATGAAAACTAACCCAAAAAGTACGGCAAAGCTTAGTGGCCTAACTAATAAAAGGAAATTTTCATGCAGTTACAGATAATAAAACGGCTTAGTTTTTGGTTATAAGAAACAAATGGATATTTCGACCTCGTTGGCTGTATAAGAAATTTCCATAAGCGCGTCAGTGATATTCGAAAGCCGAAATCTCTGGCTACAGCCCTATGTAGGCAGTTTTTCAATCACCCTTTTGTAACGCTATAAAATTCGAAATAAAATTATGTTCTGCATTAAGCACGAGCCTTCAATTTTTCTATCACGCGTGTAATTCGCTGGAGGCACGAAAAGCACGTGTACGTGTAAGGAAAACCTCATAGTATTTGAGTCAATCGTTCTAACATGAAGTTTTCTTAAGTTGGAGAAAGGAAAACCCAATTGAATAACAAGTTGCACCGCACGTGCCTGACACATCAGGACAGCGATCGGCTTCCCCCGCCCCTTTGCTTCCTATCCACCCGCAGGTAAGTCTGTAAACAAGCCAACGATATGTGAAATCCGATCCTATTTCCTTGTTACACTGCACTGAAATGGATCTTTCCGAAGAATACGTACATCGTTGGAATCACTGAAATTTACGATTTCGAATGACTATAATAGTCTAAAGTAAGCTCTGTCAGCAAGGTGTGGAACACATCTTTTTTTCTTTCTCCTATAGCGCTACGAAAAAACTTTTCCAAAAAGGAAACATATTTGCAGTTCTTTGAGACTTGTGCTATTGAAGGAGTGCTTGGCACTCTAAGAAAGTAGTTTTTTCTAGAGAAATATAAACGAGATAAGAAAAGGAACGCGTGGTCGTAGAAAACATGATTTTGTTCTGGACTTTACGGCGTTGTAATAAAGGTTCTTCTGAAAAGCGGCCACGTAGGGCTTTAGCTAGAGGCTTAGACTTTGAGATTATAATACTCCTGTGGAAAATTTTTGTACAACGAATGAGGGTGAATATTCATTTGTCCTCCTTATAACAAAAGTATTTGAAAGGGCTCACATATTTAGAATCTCTGAATCACGAGCCTTCGAATGACATTAATCACAAGCACGGAAGTGGTTGAGGAAGGATAATATCGTATGAGGACGACACGTCAAAGCAATCTCACAAAAAAAAATTTTAGCGAATGGACCAACTTTTCAGAGCACGGCTTGAATTGTGCTTCCATCATTGCAAATCTGCTGTTGGGGCATAAAGTCCTAACTTTCCCAAGAATAAAGACATTCATAATCGACAAGTATCAGTGTTAGAAATTTACTATCAAGAGAAAATCTGCTATGTGAATATTGGTTGCCAAAAACGATGCGCAGGTTTTGCTGCGAATTGTTCTTAAGAGCAAAGAATTATGATGCAGGAGTCCTAGTTGCTATGCTCTTGGGTATTTATTAAGCCATTTAGTTTAGTGCGGCTATGAACTTTGCTGTGTTAATGGCGGTGGTCAGTGATAGCCAAAGAAAAGATTTCAAAGAATTACACTCGAAAGGTCCAGAAAGGGGAGGAGAAAAAGATGGAATGTTCTAATAGTCCGCATGAAAGGGGGAGTTGATAGAGCGCCGTCAGTTTCTCGCCGTTTTTCGACGTGTGTAGGCAAAACAATCTCAATTACACACTTCTGTTAGTGAAGCTTCATTTCACTTGTGCAACGCTTCTGAACTCTTTACTGATTTTTCTCATTACAGCAGACGTTTAGAAAACGCCATCTAAAAAAAACGTCCTCTGTTTTCTCAAGGGAGTGGCCAGCACAATCCATACTACTTTATATTTTGATGTTCTTCAGAAAGTCTTAGTCAGACAATGCTTTTGATTGAACACCTCTGGACCTTGTCGTGAAAAAAATGCACAAAGTGCAATTATTACTATTTTAACGTTTTAACCTGTAGAGGGTAGTAAAATTTTTCTTTTCAGTCCACGAAATTGCTGAGCATGCAGTAGTATAAACAACATTTTTAAGCAGATGTTCGCTGATACCTACATTTCAATAAAAGTGATAATTGGTCAAGGAGCAAATCTTCCACTACGTGAACCAATCTGTATTAATGATGAAGTGGTGTGTGATGCTAAAGGTTATTCACTCATCGCCAAATTAGTTGCAAGAGCTTGCTGACTTGGTAAATAAAAAATTTAGTGTCTTCTTCAATGGTGACAAAATCGAAGAGTTGCAGAATTATTGGCCATGTTGAATTTTCTATAATCGTGAATGAACCGTCAGTCGGTATAACTAGCGGTTGACACAGAGCTTTCTAATAGTTTCAAAACCACCTTCCCGAGTCAATTAATCATCTGGTGGTACTCAGCGAAGATTTGACTGGAACGATAACGAACGAAGAGCACAAAGAGGGTGGACGACTGTGGACAGCCAACATGAATTGACGGTTTCAAGAAGACGAAACGCGTCGGAAACGAGAGCCAGTAAGATTTGCTTTTTTCAAAACAATTTTCACGCTACAGGCTCAATCAATAAAGAATATACGTATAAAAAAGATTTCTTCTTGACCACTTCTAGAGGTGTCATGGTGTTGCAATTATATCCAACCTCGTTGAGTGATGCACAAAACATTGACGTCAGACGCGACTTGAGCTCACATTCCACCCTCTCCGGGAGCGCGTGCTTAACCAATTGCACTACGACGTCTGCTCTTAAGATTAAACCACAGTTAAAAAAGCTTTCGCACAACGTTTTAGCAACAAAAACAAGGATACGTGTCATTGTCAATGTACACTTTCTTCGCCTCTTCTTCAGACTTTCAATAATGTGTCAATAGCCTTATCGAAAGTTTTATGATTTGGAGAAGTCTGGTATGACATGTCTAGTGGTGTTTTGACGGTTTAGCTTTCCGGTATATTTCGTCACGGAAGATTTTGTTTTCTAAACTTGGCTATTTAAACCTTTGTATACATAGCAGCATAGAAATCAACGTCAAGTAACAAAGGCAATTATAAATTGCGTTGAATGTCAAAGAAACCACAATGTAATATCCACATGTCACAGAGACACTAAAAAGTAGGCTACGATGATCACAGACTGTTCGAGATGAACCTAAAATGTGCTCACACTGAGTGTTATGAGGGTAGACCTGACTTAGCTTACACCTATGATATCCAAGCCTCTACCTACCGGCTAACTGCAGCAATAGGTAATCATTATCTTTTCAATCCTATCAGATTGAAGAGAACATTGAAGCAACTAGAGCGATCAATTAATCAGAGGAAAACGAGTTACCTAATGAACTAAGAAATGAGTAAAGAAGAAGTAGCACATTGAACGGTTTGCTCCACAGCAAGGGTCAGTAAAAGATAACGAAGTAGTGATCATGGGAGGGCTGTCATGATGGATCTCTTCCATTACTATGAATGCAACTGGATTGAACCGATATACAACGACGATGACTGCGGTAAGCATGGCGCGACGAGGGACGATGAAGAGACTCCTCTCTGTCAGTACGCGAATGTCGAATAACGGTCGACTAGTGGCCGCCTGTGCCGACTGGGGTGCTTTTTCCGCAACATCGATCACTGAACATGGATCGACTGTGTGAGCGTGTCCTTCGGTTTCATTTCTCTTTATTCCCACAGCATACTGAGAACGCCATTTTATAAAGCAAATTTAGTGTTCTAATCGCCATTTTTCGGGCCATGGAATATGTATAAAACGATAAAAAGCGTCTATTCTGCAGTTCCGATAAAAAAACTACAATTTCCTATCAAGCAGAGGGAAGATTTTTGAGTAAATATCGAAAATGCGAGCGATACCACGTGGCGTGTGTGAAATGCACTCTTGTTTTCTCTACCACAGCCCTGTACAGTACCTTTTTTAAGAAACTTTTCGAAGAAAAAAGAAAAAAAAAAAGAAGTCTTTTCGATAATGGAAAGATATCATGATTTGTAGTACAGTAATTAACAAGTCACTTCCTGAGTTATATGCCAATACAATTTAAACTTGAAAAAGGAATTAGTTTCCAGTGAGAGTCTTTTTCGATGGACTGATTATCAAATGACAAGTCAAACTATCTAAATTGAAGGCTAGGCGCTTCAATCAGTTGCTTCACAAGAAAAGTCGATCCAGTGAGAAACTGTCACCAGTTTCCTATTCGCCGGTAGTAAACATCCTTTCGGTTGCAAACAAGAGCAGGGACTACTGTAATGCGACTTGAGCAGATTTACCTAATGGTAGAAAAAAGCCCAGTCTCCTTAGAAGTGTCACCGTTGAGATTTAAGCTTCTTTGCAAAATAAAAAAGGCATTGAGCGAAGGATTAATTTGAATCACGAGGATCTCTGGTGGTTTAATGTCCGGCTTGGGGCAATTAGTTAGGATTTCTCTTATACCAACGCACGTGCACTAGAATTACAACCAGCTTTACCAGTATGCTGTATAAGTCTCTCTAAGAATTTACTAGGACAAGTATATTATGTCGGCTCAGAAAGCTTGTCATCTTTATTCAAGAGTCCTTCATTCGAGCTGTCGGAGAATGTGAAGATTGGTTCCATTTTGATAAGCTTGCTAAAATTCCCTGACTCGGAACGAAATAAATTTTGTTTAGCTGCTTCGCAAATGACAAATTGGCAACACCTTCGAGGCTGTAAAATTATCACCCCATTATGAATTTTGCGTGAGCACGAAAGGAGCTGAATAAACAGTCTTTGTAGTAACAGTTTCTTATTGCAGCAGTTTTGTGTGACAATAGTTTCATGTCGTTTTGATCGAATTGAGAGGGATGATAATCTCGCTATATCATTGCCATCGCACTTTCAGTAAGACAGTGCCTGAATTTGTTAATGTTAACCAACGCAAAGGTAACCCCATAGTTAGCAAGTTCTCAGCTGAAACCGGACGTGTGAGTGAAGTCAGTTTAAAAGCTCCTATGGTTCATATGGTCATCTCTCAAAACTTGAAACCGCTCAGATGATGATTTTATTATACCTTTCGTTTTAGAGTGTTTTTGAGACCTTGCTCAAATTTCAATATGCCTGATAGTTAATTCGCGCCATGCATGAGGTCTGTTATCGGCACCTCTTCAGGGCAAGAAACGTGCTTTGGCCTCTCAACCTCGTCAGTTGCACGGTGTCTTTCGGCTCATTCAGTTTCGCGAGAAGATATTGTCTCATATGCACAGTCGTTTCAGTGATTTTTGCACTCTACGGCGCGTGTCTCTTAGGTGATAGGGGATCTCCTCGCGGAACTGACTGAAACGAAAGGCACCGTACATCTGACTAGGCTGCAAGACCGAATCACGTGTCTTACACTGTGTGAGTACCCATAACAGACGTCATGCATGGCTCAAAAAAACAACTATCACGCAGATGATCTTATCTACGTTAAATTTAGAAACACCTTATAACATTTTCGCACTTTTTCCTATTTTTTGAAATTACTCAACCATCCTTTTTTAGCAGCGTTGCGTTCCATATACAGAGACTGCTTAGTGCAATAATGCAAAATCCATCCCGATACCCGCGCAAAGTGTGCGTGCTCGAGTGCAAAATGCAGTCTTAATTTCAGTGGTACGGCTCAATGAAAGGCTGTTTGGAAATTATGTGCATTATCGAAATTGTCGAAATTCTAGCTAACCAGGGATTGCTATAATTATGTAGAAAAAGTTTTCCTCGACAAAAATGCTCCAGTGTGAAATGAAATTTTGTTTTCACTGATCAAAATAACTAAGAAGAGCCAAAATAACCGCTCTCACAGAGCGCTGAAAATGGGTCCGGATAAGGGAAAGGTAAAGATACCTCCTTAGAAATACCGTCAAGCCTTAGCCTTGATTATCATCAAAAAGGCACTACAATTAAAGAACATACTCCTTAGAGACCACTAGCTCCAATACGTCCAAGATTGCAGGACAAGATCGTTACAACCAGCAATCTACTACATTTATAAGGAATAGCAAATCCTTAAGCGGCAGCGAAACATCAATGAAATAGTGGCTCGAGCAAAAGTTCTGAGATATTTTTGAACCTTTCATTGTCTGCATCTTTGTGTCGCTTCTTAATGATTTTTTATTGGTTATTTTACATAAAATTATCTAGTTCATAACTGAACCTCTAACGTGCCTACTGAGCACTATGACTTGCTGATGTTGACCCATCATTATTGAAGAAAAAGTGCAATGATTATTGAAGTAGTCAATGAAATTAATGACGGTGAAGATGGATACAACCGTACGGCGACAAAATCGACTAGGAGTAAATGGTATGAGCGATTCCAGGAAGGCAACTCTGATCTCAAAGACATGTTTCGTTCTGACCGGCTGTCTGTTTTGGATGGAAGTAGATGGCGTGCCCCTTTGACTGCTGAGTCTCTATCGAGCACTCGTGATTTAGCTGAAGAGCTTAGTCTTTCACATGGCCTTTGTCGAAAGCTGTACCACTCTGATTTTATCCACAAGAAGCCTCGCCAGAATCCGCATGAGCTTTATCCGATTCTGGCCTCTTTCTATTATTGCAGCACTTTTTTGAGCTGCCGTCGATTTGAACTATTCAATAACGTTGAAGAAGTATGTCAAGAGCTTTTCGACTGAAAGAAGCCGAAATGGCACTTAGAGTAGATCCGCAATCTTGCAGAGCGATGGCAGATAGCAGTGGACAATGGTGGTTTAGTCTTCGAAGAATGGTTAATTGCTGCTTTTACTATCAATTTGTTCATAAAAACGTAGCTTTCAAAAATTTCTCAGAAATTTTTTCTTAAGCTTAGATAATAATGTGCCCTGCTAAAAGTTTGAGAGATATCTGAGTATCGATATTTTCTGAAGATAATCATGCAAGAATTCAATGATAAATTAGGTCTTGGTCACCGAAGCAGTTCCTTTTTTCAACTCTTGAAAGCTTCAGATCTTAACGGATGACTATTGAAAAGAAATGTGGATTTTCTTCTTTTACTACTTCACGTGTAGTACTGGGTTGTTCCATAATCGTTCTCGCATTTCGACACTTTTGCTAGCTTTATTGTTTTTTGTTCCAAGAAATAAATTCCATCAACGTTATTTTCACCAACATACTTAGTGATAAGCAACCACCTTTTGAGCAAAGAATGAATGCATTCTTCCAAGTTGAATAAAACAGTGATGCGAAAAAAATCATGAGGCAATCTACCATTTTTGTTTAGAATATCCTAACTGCTTTCTGTGAAGCACCTCTATCTGAAACAGCTTTTGAGAATCTCAATGAACAGGGGAACTTCAAAAAGGAATCGGAAGATGATCTCTATTACGGGAGCAACGAGACTGTAATCTAACGATTCCGTAATTCTATGAAATGATCACATGAATGACTTTTCAGAATGATTTCAAGCACTCATTTGAGAAACTGCACAATTTCTTGTGTTGCTTATTATTTGATGACTAGTTCAGTGTAAGAAACGAATAGAGTGCTAGGACGTGCTGGGATCTGGAAAGTAAAATGTGGTGACGGGTCGGCTAAGAATAGTACAGTATCGTGCTACAAGTGCAAAGAGAAAATTGCGCGAATAATTGTCGTTCGCTGAGCAAATCAATTAGAAAAGGAACTGCTACAACGAGGAAGTATTACAACCACGGACACTGCTTATGCAGCACATTTCAGCGGTCATAATATTCCTAAACAGAGGCGATTCTTTTCCGGCACGGACAATACATTTGATTTATCATTCACAAAAGGAT